GTAAAAGTACTAATACCACATTGTAGAAATACTATGTTACAAGAAAAACTTCTGCATTTAAAATGTAATTTAAGTAAAAGTTTAAAAGTATTAAAAGTAAAGTAATCACTGCAGAAAAATGTCCCCTGACTATTATACTTGTGCATTCATGTAAAATCAGTGGAGCTCATTTTGAACCATTCTGAATTGGACTGCAACTAATGATTAATTTCATTATTGATTCATCTGCTGATTACTAGATACAGTGGGGAGAACAAGTATTTGATCACTGCTGATTTGCAGGTTCACTGTATATGTAGTGAAGTAAAAAGTACAACATTTCCCTTTGAGATGTATTGGAGTAAGAAAGTGGCATGAACAGAAAACACTCTAGTAAGCAAATGTACTTAGTTAGGGTCCACAATTGGTTTTGTTTATCAGAACTAAGGACTCAAGAGAGCTACTTAAATCCTTGACCCCAAAAAATAAACCCCTAGTAAAGAATATTGGTGTACTTCTGGACTGGATCACATATCAGTTATGTCACAAAGAATGCCTTTCATCACTTCAGAAATATAACTTAAGTGCAGCAATTCCTACTACTTATATTACAATTCAAATCACTAAATGGAGTAGCGCCTCAGTATCTATCAGACTTGTTCTATCATATGTCCCCAGTAGACCCCTTAGATCTCTGGCACTGGCCTTATAGTAACCCTAATGGTAAGGACAACGAAAAAACGGAGTGGAGCTGAGGATGTGTCTAACTTTAAGTTCTTTTAAAAGAAATCTTTCTAGTTTAGCATTTTCCTAATTTATTTTTTATTGCTTTTATTGATCTTACTGTAAATTTGTCTTATTTCTCTTTATGTTTCTCTTTATGTTCTCCTCGTGTCTGTGTGGGTTCTCTCCGGGTGCTCCGGCTTCCTCCCACCATCCAAAGACATGCAGTCTAGGTTGATTGGTGACCCTAAATTGTCCTTAGGTGTGAGTGTGAGCGTGAGTGGTTGTTCGTCTATGTGTGGCCCTGTGATGGACTGGCGACCTGTCCAGGGTGTACCCCGCCTTGCGCCCAATGTCAGCTGGGATTGGCTCCAGCGACCCTGTACGCAGGATAAGCGGTTGACGATGGATGGATGGATTTAATTTCTCTTATAAGATAAGAAAAACTTTATTGTCTGTCATAAGTGACAGAAATTTGTCTTTGACAAGACAGGCTCAGGATGCAATACAGACTCTTTTATTACTGTATTCACTACTGTTGGTTACATGGCTATGCTGTATTTTTAACATAATGTCAAGCACCTTGTATTGTTCTTTTGCACGAAAGATGCTATACAAATAAAGTCTGATTGATTGAATCTGTTTTACACATAATCATAGGCACAGAATATAGTATGGTATGTCATATAATCATCATTACATCTTATATATCATTCCTACCCTAGTTCACATTTGTTGATTCGGCAGTACACTGTCAGGTTTGAGCCGATGAGGAATAGCGGAGATGGTTCTACTGTCACGTGGCCATGGCGATTGAGTTGTTGGCAGCCAGCAGGGAGCAAAGGCCAACCTGTTCAGAAAAGACACACACCCAGGTGTCATAGCAGTACTGTTACTATTCTTGTACTGTTAATATTTATTGTCAATTCCCATCGCTGGCTTTGCAATAAGGCATGCCAAGACCAGAAATGGCATGTATGATTCTTTGAATGATTGTCAAAAAATCACTTTTCACTCACTGCATGCAGTTGGAGATGCAAACTTAAGGTTTAGAGCTCGTAACCACAAAAGCTACCAAACTGTGATACAGTTGTTCTCACTGAACCACTGACTAAACCGCACAAGATAGCTAGGATAGATAGATAGATAGATAACTCCCTTAATGGAAAAATGTAGTATCATAATGAATCTCCAAATTGTTGAGTAGAGATTCATCTCTTTCTTAATCTCTTAGAACCCACTCAGCAGCTGTAAAGAAAAGTTATTGTCATTATAAATCACCATTTATAATTCCATCTTTGAAGTAATCTTCAACATTTACCTCAGCCATCTGTGTACAGGAGATGCTCTGGCTAACATGAGGAGGAGTTCTGCTGATCTTCTTCTCTTTACAAGTGCAAGTTTGGGGCTGATCATTTACAGAAGTACAGGCAGCTCCAGTCATAGGAGCTGTGTGACGCATGCACTGCGGCAGATAAGAGAAAAGACATTTTTGTCACGACATTATCTTGCTGATACAACTGAGATTAACATGCTTTGCGTCAAACCTGAGCATTTGATTTTATAAGCCGTTTTCTTGTTTATCAAAGACTCCACAAACCACCAAGATACGTTAGTAGATATGTCCAGATCACCAGAATTTCATGCCGTCTGTGTGCCTTTAAGGTTTCCTTATAAAGATACAATCCAAAAAGTTTTCGCCATAGTCAGACAACTTGCTTTGTGAGATGCATCTGACTAAAGTGATGTTTGTTGCGCAAATGACACATCTTAAAGAGGCAAGTGACCTGTTTGGTGGTATTTTGGAAAACACAGAAAGTTTGAACATTAGCTTCAGTACTTTGGTGCCCTACTTCAGTAGCCACAAAGGCTCAGTTGACTTCAATGTGCTTAACAATGCTCTCAGTAAAGTGCTGTTGTTAGCAGACAATCAACCCAAAATGTTACATACTGTGACATCAATTTACTCTGAAAAACATGCTGACCATAGCTTCACAGAAACCTCAATATGTTGTACCTCCTGACACTTATGTTACAGTTGCTCTGTGCTGATGCAGTGGACAGCAAGCTTGATTCATGTTACATCAAAAACATACAATTATAACTCACTGTTGTCTAAAGTAAAAAAGTTTAAAGTAGTTAGGTTGGTAAAACAAAATTACAGTTTTCGTCTGAAAGAGGTGACTTCAAATGAATAAAACAATCAACCCATATCTTGCAAGCTGGTTGCTTATGCTTATAGTCCCTCAGAGACTGTGCTGGGAAAAATAAGCAGTCTTTCTCAAGCTACCCTAGTTTTGTGATTTCCTTTCGTAGTTTTTTTCATTTCAAACTTCAAAACCTTTAGGCTACAGGGAAAACCCAGAGGTTAGAGTAGGTGTGTGTAGGCCTACATGTCATGATCAAACAGACCTCAAGCTAATTTTCATAACTGACATGTCTGCATAAGGTCAAAGGTTTAATTTAAGGTACTTTATTGACACATACATGTTGCAAAATTCATTCTCAGCATTTAACCCATCCCTCAAGGAAGCAGTGGGCAGCCACTGTGCAATCTTTATCAGTGTCTGGTTAATGGCACTGATTGAAGAAACATAACATGTTTTTGATAGGGGGAAACCAGAGTGCCTGGAGGAACCCCATGCTGACAACATGCAAACTCCACACATAAAGGCCGGGGCAACCGGGGTTTGAACCACACCTTCTTGCTGTGAGGCCACAGTGCTATCCACTAGTGTGCACATCTGCAAGCGCAACACTATGTATGTCTAGATATTTTTCACAAACTATTAGAATTGCAGTTGCCCTATGTCAGTCAAGCGCACCGTGTGTTAACAACAGAAACTTTTCTACCTTTTGCTCGACTTGTACATTCACTTTTTAAAGTGAGCCGTTATTTGCATCCCGAGGTCAAACCAGCCGCTCTAAATTGGAGTACACACGTATTCTGACCTGTGTTGGAAATGCATTGAAACGGCCCAAAGGGAGTTTAAGCTTAGGTTTACAGCTGGTTTAAAGAGTAACCTAAGTGTATTCCACTGTCTCCACAGTTTATACCCCATTGACTTAGATGTGTGTTATGGGTCTTTCTTACATACCACTGCAATTTTCATGGCTGTTGTATGTTTAGTTGCAGCACACGTTCACGTTGATTATGACTGGTTCGAGCATTCTCCGCAAATTCAGTTCATTTTATTACTATTCCATAATCCTGCCGACAGACGGCCCTGAAAACATAGCCACCTTGTGAAAGTAGGACCTAAAGTGACATGACTGAGTTTACGCAAACTAAATTCCTAATAACAGCAGGTATCATACATGCTCAAGACACACTGAGACTGATTGAATGGTATTCTCTCATTTTAGTGCTTTTCTCACCTAGCAAACCTCAGACTGAACATGAACACATGAATGAGAAGCATGAGAAGCATGAACTAAATCTCTGTATCATTTAGTTACACACACATCAGGTTTTAGTAAATTCGACAACTCCAATGTGCAGTGACAAGAAATGTGGGAATATTGTTTCCAGTTATTTAAAAACAAAACTGGAAAGCATATTTATTGCATATTGAATAGATTAATACAATAAAAAGGTTTATTGAAAAGATCTATTGATTGAGAAGATAAAAAATATTTTCAGTTGTTGAAATGATGTTTTAGTAACAATATAGTAAAAGAACAAAATAGCAGATCTTGATGCTTCACAAGACAAATGTAGTGGAACGCTGCGGTTCAGTTGGTGGTTTATCGTGGTACGGCACAGACGCGGTAAGGTTTGGGACAGCGAGTGGCTCCCAACTTGAACTCCAGACTGGGCTGCTCTCCAGCGCATGCCGAGAAAGAAAACCTCTGAAGGAGGGAGGTAAAGAAGAGGAATAACTCCATCCTGGCCAGCTGCTCCCCAAGACACACACGCTTACCTGAGAACACAAAGAGCAACCGATGAGTTATATTCACACAATTTTTAAGAGATTCACTTTGATCATAATATCGCTGCAGCTCAGAGTGTGAAACAACCACAGAATACAGTACGACATGGAGCCTGATCCCCTCCCTACTATGGTAATCAGTTAGACAGGAAAACAACTGGTTTAAACTACAAATTACTGAGTTTCAGAGGCTTGTAACTACTGACTAACCTGCTGAAAAAGGAAGGAAGGCCTCTCTCTTCCTAAATTTGCCGTCCTGGTCCAGAAAATGTTGAGGGTTGAAGGTGTGTGGAGTTTCCCACATCGACTCATCATGTAGAACTGAGTTCAGCGTGGTCAAGATAGCGGTGCCCTGAGGAAATGCAATTAATGAAAACTGTAATTCAAACTGTTTTTTTGTACTTCTGGGATAAAATAAACAAATTACAAGGTTAATTCTCAACCTTGGAAACAGCAGCTAAGGAACGAATCATAATAACTGAAAATATATAAAAATAATACAACAATCATATCACTGAATCTCAAATATAAAAATGCACCAAAAAAATAATAAAAAGGAAATCATTGCACATCAACTGGGCTGATTAAGATCATGTGAAATGACCAAAAGCTCAAGAACAGCTACTAAATGGTTGTTGATTGTTTTGTGAAATTGTCAGGTGTAAAATGTCTGCACCAAAGTGCAACAGTGGTTTTAACCTACATGTTAATATAAAATAATCTATTGTCCATTTTTTTCTGATTATTTTCAAACAAACTTCTAACCTTACAGACAGTTATTGGTTATTCAGTTTATATCAGTGTAGTATAAAATTTGCTTGCAGATTTGGTTTTTAGAGAATATAAAAGTTGGTCTTTATATTAAAGATATCTTCACGTAGCTGAAACGACTGGGTTGAAAACCATTGTTGATTTTTGACCATGATTGTTGAGTTAGCAGCAAAGAAGCACTGCATTCAAAGCTATGCTGCCAGAAAATCCAAACAATAAGTAAAATGCTCACAGAAAGCAATTCTTTCTCACATGTGCATCATGTACCTTTGGGATTGTGTACTTGTCAAGCACGGTGTCCTTGTTTGCCATGCGGACCACATTGAGGGGGACGATGTTGCCCATTCTCTGGATTTCATGGATGACTGCATCAGTATAGGGCATGCTTTCTCTGTCAGTCACAGAGGGCAGTCGGGATGAACCAACGACAGATTCTATCTCAGCCTGGACTCTCTCTGCACACAGTGAGAACAGGAAACAATATGAGTCTGTGTACTATGTAGATCACTGAGGGGAAAATGCAATACATCCCACACACTCTCCCAACACAGGACTGACCTGTGAGGGACCCCTGATCCTTTAAGGTCATGGCAAGATGCTTATAAAACAAACGGCATGAGGCAGCACAGATATTACTCACACACACACACACACACCTTGTATGTCAGGGTAGTACATCATGAATAGCAGTCCCCAGTGTAAAGTTGTGGTAGTAGTTTCAGTTCCAGCAGCAAACAGGTCCAGAGTGCAAACAGCCAGATTTTTTAAATCAAAACCAGAATCTGTGTCCTCCTTCTATCAATCAAACACAAAATGCAGTTTCTAGTATCAGCTGACATATTTCATTAGAGAGCAAAAACAACAACAAAGAAAGCAAACACAATGCAAACACTCGCCTCTCCCATCTCTGTGAGGAAGCAGTCGATGTAGTCTCTCGGTGAGGACGGGTCAAGGCTTTCTCTGTGTTCTTTAATCTTGATCTCTACAAAGTCATCTAAGTTTTGTGTCAGAGTGAATATCCTCTGGTGAGGTCCGGGCACCCACTTCATCAGCCAGGGATATGTGTTATAAACCTACAGAGCATGAAGACAGTTAACAGACCATTAGAGAATCTTGATGTAGTTCACAACCTCAGGTGGAGGCCGCGGCAAATGTGGCAAAACTAATTTGTTTGCTGGATTGGTCAAAAAAACAGATGTAAATCACAATAAATCAATATTGCAATATAAAATTTCGTATACTGTGATGGAGGTTTAGAGCCCGACCAATATGGGATTTTGATATTTGAGAATTTTAAAATCTAATACTCCAATAAATGAGACAATATTCGTTTTATTCCCTTCATTTCAGAAACACATAACATCAGATTATCCCTAAAATTGATTTAGTTATGAGACCTCACCAAGATAACATGACATAATGCAGTTTAAAAATAAATAAATAGTACTTTAAACAATAGTACAGCTGATTATGTCAGCTGATTGCTGTGTTTGTGGTGGATTTGTGGCTTTTCAAACACCTGTGCAACACAGGGGAGTTGCAGAGTGACCTCTGGTGGAAAAACTATGCATTGAAAACACTCATAACATGATTGAAGGATCTGTGATCTTTTAAATAATGATTTATCAACAGGATTTATTTCATAAGCCTATGTATTTATGTTATTTATTTAATATCGACAGAAATGGCATCCATATTCCATATTTGCATGAGTACTTTTTACTTAAATTGATCCTTGGTACATTTTGCTTATAAAACTTTTGTACTTCAGTGAGAGCAGCTACTGTCATGCCCAGCTTCTGCAGTTAGGTTATGTGTTCAGTTTTATGTCTGCAACCACTTCCTGAAATTTATCATCTTGTCTCTTTCCAGGTCTTTGTCTACCCTCCTGCCCTACGTGATTACCTGTCCCCGCTCTAATGTGCTCCACCTGTGCCTCGATGTCTCCCCTGTTATGTGTGCATAGTTTGTACCTGTGCTAACTTGTCTCGATCCCTTGAGTCAGCCAAATGTGTTCCAATGTGTGTGCACTCTAGTGTGTTTTGACCTCAGTTTTTTGTGTGTAGCCTTGATAACAACACAACACTGTCCCACATGTTTCTGACATATAGGCTCTGCCATACTGACTTCACCAGCACGGGAATGGCGTCACAGACACCAGATTTAAAAACTCCTGTATACTGCGAATACAGAGAGATTTACCTGGTAGCATCAGTCTTAATAAGCATTGTGTGAAATCGTTTGGGCTTGAATGTAATGGACGTTTATTTATATGTAAAAGTCCCGCACTTAAGATTTAAATAGAGGTTTAATTCAGGACTTTTACTTGTAATAGAGTATTTTTAAATAGTTGTATTCATACTTTTACTTTACTATCTGAGTACTGCTGCACATTTTTATCAGTTATTATCATTATTACAGTTTCATTCAATTCCATTTAATTGTGTTGTTCTTGAACCTTTTACAAAATAGTTTATAAAACCCATCACTGACTTTTGTGGTCTGCATGGATAAATTCTGATTAAGAAAAAGATTCATATGCGCTGCAGGAGGCTCACCTGTGTCCCAAACTTCCCTGTAAGTACTATTTCATTGAACTTAGAAGAATACCCTGGTACTGCTTGTCAGTGTATTCAAAGCGATCACCAAACACCAGGCAGCAGATGATGTTGGACACAGCACTGGTAATCAGTGATTGGGCATCAAAAGGCTTGCCTGAAAAGAAAGAGGAAATGTAGAGAAAACACACAGAAACTTTGAAAAAAATAAAAGAACGCAAAGTCAAAACATGAACTGTGTGATGAGCCACAGGCAGAAGAAGAGTACTGTGACATATTGATTATAATTATGGATGATTAACAGGCTGGCTTATCAGATACATTTACAGTGTCAGCCACTGCCAAACTGAAACAAACTAACGTCTAAAGTGCATGGTTCAGTGCTCCACAGTGTTGCTGCATGCCTCTGTGTGGAGCAAAGTTGGAGCGAAGTTGAAGGGAAAGGGAACATGTACTTAACAAAAAAAAGACTGTGTCATGGTGAAAAAGCATACTGCCCTGTAACTAGTTATGGATTAGTTGATTAGTTGTTGCTTGTTGAAAAATAAGATTTGTTTGTTGCCTTGCTGAAGGGCAAAAGCTTCAGTGAGATATTGGCACTCCTGCTGGATGGATGGCTCCAGGCTCTTCTTGCCCACACCAAAGTTTCTGAGTGTCTGAAGAGCGAATCTCCTCTGCTGCTTCCATGGATTGCCATTTGATATCACCAGACCTTTTGGAAACACAAACAGCATTACATCGAAGGTAACTGGAAATGAGTAAAACTAACAACTAGCTAACCTAATATGGTGTCAGTCTGATGCTACTACCTAAATCCTAACTAGCAACTTTTAAATAAAATACAACACAGACCTCTGTTCCCATTTAATGCTTCTGCCATTGGTATGATGGGGCGATCTATGTAGTCCTCTCCTTTGTGGACCAGGGCCTCTCTTACAAGCTTGTAGCCATTAATCACCACAATCCGTCCACCGAACAGCCGAAGGCTGAAAACGTTTCCATATTTCTCTGCAAACTGAACACAGAGATCAGACAGGTGTTCAGAGTTGACCTAGTTTCTGAGAATGTCAAAACAAAATCAGTCTAGCTTCAGAGGGTGACAGCACAAACATGCACCTGGCTGATGTGGGTGGTGTTTCATGTTTTATCCTGCTTCCTTTTACATTATTGACATAAATTGGCTCTGTAGATACTAGTGTAAATGTGTTACTTCTTGTTTCATAAACTCCTTTGTGGTGACGTGATGTCCCGTTTCACCACTACATGGAAAAAAGTGTCTGCCGCCTCACACATAACAATGGCCCCTCCGATACCTCTGACCAGATGCAGAGTAGAGCAGCCTTTTGGACAATAGTTTTGGACAGTATTAATCCTGTGGACGGAAATCAAGCTGCAACCACATGCCTGAATGTTGAAGCCAATGCAGGAGTTACTCAATATGCAGTTATTAAGGATCATAGATGGCTACGTTTGAGGGAAAATGTGTGGCTGTTGTCAACAGGCAGTGAGATAAAAAACTGGAACATTTGATGCTAAAGGTACAAGGATGTTTATTTTTAATTATACAGCACAAGGTTGTATAATGAAATTAAACTTGTAGTCCTTTCATGCTACGCACACACCTTTAATAAAGTGTATATTAAAATATGGTAACATATAAAGAAAACAATATATACAGTAATTTATATACATATATCATTTTTTAAATTTGCATCTGGGGTGAATGTAAACAGCAGCAACCAGATGATAATGGGGTTTCATCTTCACAATAAACAATCTGACATTTGGGAAACAGAGTCCATCTTGACTGCATTTGAGCACCAAGCGTTTGAGTCCACCTCCTCTCATTTTGCTGGAGTCTTGCGCTGTAAGCTCAGTACATGCACCACCTGCCGAGTGCTTGATCCAGGATGTTGATGGGGCAGGTCTCTGTTGCTTGGTCAACATGAGTCCCCCTTTGTCCAGACCTTTAGGAGCAGTCCATTAAGCCCAAACTGGGCCAACATGGCTCCTATCCCGGCTCTCTTTCCTCTCCTCCGAGCATTCACTTAATCCAAACACCCCATCTTCATTTTCCAATGTATTTATGTCAGAGGTAACACATGTTTCAGCAATAAAGCCGGAAAAGCATGGAGTATATGGCATCACTACCCTGCCAACTTTGTTTATTGTACAGAAGGCACACCAAGCTAGCATACAACCTGGGTAAGGTTATCCTCTTTCTCTTTCTCCCCTGTGCCTGGTGCCCTTACATACAGTATTTATCAAAATGTATGCTATGAAGTATCTGTATCATCCACAGAATTTACTGTTACATCTAGCTGTGACACACAAAAGAGTGTCAAAGTATCAGACCCCATTTAATTTCAGGTTCACTACCTATATTTTTTATGACATAAAAAGTCTCCACAATAACAATCAAGATGAAATAATCCTTGACATATCAGTCAACTAGTAAGTGTGGTTGGACCCTCTACATAATGTCTAAATAAACAGTAAAGGCTTCAACTAACAATTATTTTCATTATCAATGAATCTGCAGATTATTTTCTCCATTAATCAATTAATTGTTTGGTCTATAAGAAATGGCACATGTCATCTGTCAAGTCAAATTTAATCCTGGATGAATTAGGCCATGAATTTGCTTTTTACAACAATCCTTCAATTTGAGTTAATGATTTCCTACATTCCCAAGGGAATGTGCAGCTTTCTGCTTTTGGATTTTTCTTCTATATCCAGATTTAGCCTACTTATTTAATCATTCAAAAAAGAAGGTCTGGTGGAAAGGAGTAAAAACAATGATCAAACAGATTTTAGGCAACATATATTTTGACTACAACCAAGTAAATGTTCAGTGTCAAGAAGTGAGTCATGTACAGAGGGTACTTTTTTTTTTTCTCCAAGAGGCATTTTATTTTACTCACCCAATAATAGTTCTTATACTGCATGTCTGTCCTTACCTCTGTGAACTGCAGGTGAAGTCTGGAGGGTTGGATGCGATGAAGGTCACCAATCAAAGGAAGAGCCCAGGGTCCAGGAGGAAAGTTGGTCGGCACTCTGTTCTTCAAAACATCAGTCAACAACAGAAAAACACACAGAAATATTAAAAGACTCGTGCCGTCCATCCACTCCAAGCCGAGTACTTTCTGTATTGTCTCCATTTGTTGTCTTGTTTATTTATCAGTAGGCTATGCGATATCGCGACCGGTGAATGAATCTGTCCGGTGAATGAAGGGAATGTTCTAAACAAAGTTGGTATCGAGAAGACATCCGGTTTGCGTGCCTAGTTCTGCATTAAATTTACCTCGGAAGTCGGAGGTGGGAATGTCGTCACACCCGAGCTGACCGCGTCCCAGTTAACAAGTCGGAAAAAGCCACAGGTGCACACCTCCCCCTTCTCAGCCAGGCAACCAGCTACTTTTACTTTCGCTTTTCGCAGACTCATGTTGTGTGCAGCATAAAGTCAGATCATGACTGCTCACATAGGCTAATTATGGAAAAGAGAAGCGACTGCCTGACTATAGTTTGTTTATCTGCCCCAGACTTCTGTGCCTTGTGGTATTAAAAGGCAAGTTGATAGTTGTTATCACCAGTAACTACAGGTGTCTCATGCGTAAATAACGGCGCAGCAGCATAATAGCGTCAAACCGGTTGATTAATAGCCTATATCATGCCAATCAGAGTTACAGATCCATCACTCCTCAGTGAACTCCTTGTCTGCGGTCTGGAGCATAAGTAGGCTTATGTAAATTTATCATTAAGGATTTAGGCCTACCATGTTTTTAGGAGTCGGTTCACACTGAAATCAGTCAATAAAAATATCAATTTTGCGAAAGTTGAAAATATTTAACAGTAATGTGGCAATTAGGCCTACAATTATTTTTTAAAGTCCGGCCTCCACATTGTCTGCTTAGAAAAATTCGTGCCCTTGAACTAATGTAGCTGAGGACCCCCTGATGAAGAGGTCAGTGAAATAATAGCCTTTTCTATTGATGATTAAAAGTAAGTTTTCATAATTTGGTAAGATGCTTTGCTTCAAATAGCCAAAAAGACATCGGTGCATGACAATGTTGGTTGGCATTAAGAACTTGCTGGTAATTAGATATGTATTATACTAGCGCTTATGATATCCCATTAAAATTAACACCTGTTTGAATGTAAATACGGATAGGCTATGACTTCAGACTCCAGTGTTTCCCGTTTTCCCAGTCCAGTGCGGCCCGCCAGAGTGAAATCTGTTCCGCCAGTTTCTTAATGAAGCAAAAAACATTAAGGTTCTCATTATAACATAAAATGGCATTGTTTTACTATAATGTATATTATATAGCCTGGCTGATAATAAATAAATATAAATACGTTTTTAGGAGGTTAAAAAAGTAAAAAAAAGTAAGTAAAAGTATCTTTTACTGGGTAAAATTTAAATGAGCTAGTAAGTAGAATATTTTTCTACTCTTTCCACCTCCGTTTTTCACTTTGCAAACCTATTACATGCAGAAAAAGGTGGGCCTATGTAACTCAGTAAAGGAGAGGAAAAAAGGCAAAAAGCATAATATGTCCTCTTTAAGTAAAAGTAGACTACAAAGAATTAGCATTAAATGCCTACTCAAAGTACCAAAATAACTCATTATGAAGAATCGCACATTTCAGTATTATTAACTGATTGGATAATAACTACAGATTCATTACTGCGTAAGCTTTACTTTAATGTTGCAGCTGGTAAATATGAGACCAAATTGAACTGGTATCTTAATCTAAAATATTAAACCAAATAGTAGTTGAAAACGGGGATAACAAATGTTTTGAACGCAGAAAAATGTTTATTTTATGGATTTACGACGGCCTACCCATGTTCGCAGGTAAGGCTGCAACTAAGAATCGATCAATTAATTGTTTAAAATGTTGTTCACTGTCCAAAAGCTCAAGGTGACATCTTCAGATTGCATGATTTTTTGGTGACAGATGATGACTGTAGACTTACTATAGGCCTATATATGAGAAATATACAAAATCTATCACATGATGAACTCTGATGTTGAAAGATTTTAATCTCGCCGCTGACTTCTGAGTTGTTGGAGTCCAGTATCTGGAGATAGATGGTGTAGTGTGTGATGAAGCCTCTCTGCTGGTCTACAGGCAGCTCGCCTGGCTTTGTGGACCAGTATTGACATTTTGGGACTGGATCCTGGCTCTGAAACACATAGTAAGACAAGATGATTACTATTGAGCATATATATGAGAAATGTACAAAATCTATCACATGATGAACTCAGATGTTGAAACATTTTCATCTTTAAGCTTAAAATTGTAGGAATAAACTGTTTTTGGGGACATGTGGCATCTATGAAACTTACTCTGTTCTTTGGAGTAGACCAGACCGGAAGATGGAGCACTAACACCTCTGGTGGTCACAGCGTACAGAGAGATACTGTACCTCACACCTGCAGTCAGACCTAAAACAATACAGGAAAAACTAAACTACTCTCACCATGAATGCCACTATATTTCACAAACATTCAAATTTGCTAAAGAACTTCGTCTTCAGTTGGATTTAGAGTATCATATTATTTACAGTTTTATGAAAAGCCCAAACTAGTGTAATTCATAAACTGGCCACAAGACGCCACTGTTCCCAGTTAAAGCCCTTGTGTTTGTTTATAAAGTTTATAAAGTGTTCCAGTGCCTGCAGACAGGGTCTGTTTCGTCTCTCTGTACCTGTGATGGATGTGTTGTTTTGATCTTTGGCCAGTTTTTGCCATAGTACAGATACAGATACAGGTGCAGGTACACGTGTCCATTCTAACACATAATGCAGCAGTTTTCCTCCAGATGCTGACCAATGTTTGTTCCCTGGCGACGACCAGGAGACAAACACAGCGCTGGTACCTGAACTGAACACTGGTTCATAGCAGCATAACAGGGCAGTTCCTGTTTCTGGTCATTACCCAGAAAGATCTTGTACCGTCGCATCTCACCACTGTACTTGAAAGTGGGAAACAGATAGCCTGGCTGAAGGTAACAACACCTACCAGCACCTTTAACACACACTAATTACAGAGAAGCTTTGCTGATTTTTAACCATCTTTGTATCATTATAGTGTAGGTGGGCTAGTAAATGCAATGAACAGTTGCCTGCACCCTGATCTCCCTGTCCATTTGACGTCAAATCTGCCAGATGACGCCGCCTGGCTTTTGACAGCTCTAGGGCTATTCTTCGTACTACAGATTGTACTTCCGCATTCTTTGTATGCTGGTCTCCACAGACAGTCAGGGGCAGCACCTCAAACATCATGTCCAAAATCAACTGGCTAGAACAATCACTGGCACTGACTGTAGAGTTAGGGAAGTTTGGGAGTGGAAGTGACCTTGACAGGCAACATTCTGGTTGTTAGGTTTTCTACCTTTTGAACAAAAGGGAATCCCACAGCCCCTTTTCTTTGTTTTCTGTGGTCATGTAGCACCAGTTTCAAAAATATTTGCATCTTTTGACTGCATAGACGATGCAATTTTATGAAATTACCATCTTTCCAGCAGTGAAATATTCCTTTAATATGTTATAACTCCTATGTTAGATCCTTGAGTCATGGTTTCACAGGGATTATGTTACTACTTCTTGGTTGGGCACAGTCCAGAGAAAGTTATTCTATATCATGCATACATTTAAGTGGTAGCAATCTTTTCATCTAACTCTCAGCTAAGAAAGCGAAGGACTGTATCTGAATAAACCATTTCTGGTATTTGGTGTACCTTTGTTTTACAAGATCGGCATTATCAATATAAAATCCAAAGGTAATGAATAGCTTTGACACATTACCTTCCACAAAACTGTCACCATCCGCAGCCCACCTTTCTCCTGGCTGCCTAATATGCTCCACACATGCATCTGCTGAGATGGACCTAAAGATAAGTTCAACCACAAGTTGTGGGTTTTGTTTGCGTGACGACAAACTTTCACATCCTCACATTCAGATTGCCTTTATTATTGTTATTGTATACATTGCCTTTGCCTTTGTGAGCTTGCCTTTTCCAGGGCTTCTCCCCCTCACAGATTGACTCCATTCACTGAAGAACGACCTTCTGCTGGAGGGTGTCATGGGTCTCTTGGTATAGGTCAGTCCTGATGTTGACTTACATGTTCTCATCTGGAACTCTTATTCAGTCAAAGGCCGTCCACTTGGCTTTCCCATGTCGACATTTCTAATTTTGTAATTTTTACCATTATACTATGCAGTGCTGTAAAACAGTCCTGTCTTTTTATTTTCTGTATCACAATGAAACGGTCTGTCAACACATCACAGTGAAACTGTGAATCCGGTCCAATCTCTTGCAATGTATAACTTTGTACTGGTGAAAGTGGTTTATGTCATACAGAAAAGGTTTTCAATCACTGTCATCAACACCTCAGCCATAGTTTAATTCAGAAAATACTTCCAGAGTACACTAATTTTATACTGACAACATGGCAACATTTTGACTATCTTGTTCGTAAACAATGACGCAAGGACTTCCATCATTCGGATGCACTGACATGTTCACTGATCTAAATATGTACTTTTGAGGGTTAAACTAAGGATTTTAAAGAGGTGGTATTATGCTCACCAGAACAGAACAGGTTTACATGTTTACAATTTTCAAAAAACACCATATTTTTTGTCATATTGCACATTGCTGCAGCAAAGTGTCTGAAAAGGTGAATGCATAAATCGGCAGAAGAGATATTGTAGGCTACCTGCTGAGATTTGCATCCACCTCTTTTCTCAGTATGAATTAGCGTTACTACCCCTAAGGTGCATGTAATTTTCAGCAGGCAGGCAAAACTCAGCACAAAACTTGGCGCGCTGTGAACAGTTCATGATCTTCCCTCTGGCTGGAGGAATATTACGCATAATCCATGCACTACTGCAGCTTGGGGCTCTCCACAGCGCCATGCAACTTTCTAAATTGTTCCCTCTCACGAAGAAAAGAAAGGTCGCATACACAGCAGCAGCAGCTGTTGATAAAAACAACAACAACAACAATAATAATAATATTATTATTATAAGACCAACACCCCTGGCCTACATGCTTGCAGCAGTAAGAATCCCGGTCTGCCCCCCCCGTAACGCAGAAACGCATTTTTCTGTGTCTGAAGTTACTTGACTTTTATGAAGATAGTGATGAAACTGCAAATTGTATTCATCAAGTTCTGATGAACTGCCTGAAAAAGCATGAACTGGAAATAAAACACATCAAAAGTAGCTTGTTCTTTTCAGTTTGTCATATGTAGGCCTACATGAAGGAGATAACCTTTTCTAACCTACAGTGCAGTGTTTTGTATTAGACAAATAGTAAAGGAAACAGGTAGACTAGTGGTTTAATTGAAGGACTGTGTATACAATACACTGTATATTTACACAAAACCATACATGCACTTCATCCCTGTGACGTCACAGGGATGAAAGGGAAACGGCTGGACTACAAATGAGCTGTTTTCAGGCAGTTCAGAGCAGAGTTTTCTGTGGGAGATGTGGACTCCCTTTGGGGTGGACTTTGGGCTTTTTCACTTTGCAAACCTGTTACATGCACAAAAAGATAAATAACTCAATAAAGCAGAGGGAGAAAAGCCAAAAAGCATAATACCACTTCTTTAAGCAAGTTACGGGTTTCAGGACGAAAACCTCTCGCCACAACATGTAAAACGTAAATAAAACCAGAATACATTCATTTGAAAACCCTTTTCAACCTATATTCAATTTAATACACTAAAAAGACAAGATATTTAATGTTTAAACTGATAAACTTTATTGTTTTTTGCAAATAATCACACACTTTTTGATGCCTGCAACATGTTCCAAAAAAGACTGGGAAAGCTGAGGAATGCTCAAAAAACACCTGTTTGGAACATTCCACAGGTGAACAGGTTAATTGGAAACAGGTGAGTGTCATGATTGGGTATAAAAGGAGCATCCCCGAAAAGCAAGGATGGGGTGAGGTTCACCACTTTGTGAACAACTACGTGAGCAAATAGCCCAAAAGTTTAAGAACAACATTTCTCAATGTACATTTGCAAGGAATGTAGGGATTTCATCGTCTACGGTCCATAATATCATAAAAAGATTCAGAGAATCTGGAGAAATCTCTGCACGTAAGTGGCAAGCCCAAAAACCAACATTGAATGCCCGTGACCTTCGATCCCTCAGGCGGCACTGCATTAAAAACCGACATCAATGTGTTCAGGAACACTTCAGAAAACTATTGTCTGTTAACACAGTTTGTCGCTACATCAACAAGTGCAAGTTAAAACTCTACCATGCAAAGCAAAAGCCATATATCAATAACACCCAAACGCCGCCGGCTTCTCTGGGCCCGAGCTCATCTGAGATGAGATGGACTGACGCAAAGTGGAAAAGTGTGCTGTGGTCTGACGAGTCCACATTTCAAATTGTTTTTGGAAATTATGGACGTCGTGTCCTCCGGGCCAAAGAGGAAAAGGATCATCCGGATTGTTATCAGCGCACAGTTCTAAAGCCAGCATCTGTGTTATTATGTTAGTGCCCATGGCATGGGTAACTTGCACATCTGTGAAGGCACCATCAGTGCTGAAAGGTACATACAGGTTTTGGCGCAACATATGCTGCCATCCAAGCAACGTCTTTTTCAGGGACGTCCCTGTTTATTTCAGCAAGACAATGCCAAGCCACATTCTGCACGTTACAACAGCGTGGCTTCGTTGTTAAAGAGTGCGAGTACATAGACTGGCCTGCCTGCAGTCCAGACCTGTCTCCCATTGAAAATGTGTGGCGCATTATGAAGCGCAAAATACGACAACGGAGATCCTGGACTGTTGAGCAACTGAAGTTGTACATCAAGCAAGAATGGGAAATAATTCCACCTACAAAGCTTCAACAATTAGTGTCCTCAGTTCCCAAACGCTTATTGAGTGTTGTTAAAAGGAAAGGTGATAACACAGTAACACAGTGGTAAACATGCCCCTGTCCTGTTTTTGGAACATGTTGCAGGCATCAAATTCAAAGTGAGTGAATATCTGCAAAAAACAATAAAGTTTATCAGTTTGAACATTAAATATCTTGTCTTTGTAGTGTATTCAATTGAACATAGGTTGAAAAGGATTTGCAAATCATTGTATTCTGGTTTTATTTACGTTTTACACAACGTCCCAACTTCATTGGAATTGGGGTAGTAAATCATTTAATCGTATCTTTTGATTGTGTGGTCCTTGCTGGTGAAATAACTGTAATGGAACGCTGTGATTCATTGTGTTGTGAAACAGATGGTTCAGTTGGTGGTTTATCGTGGTACGGCACAGACGCGGTAAGGTTTGGGACAGCGAGTGGCTCCCAACTTGAACTCCAGACTGGGCTGCTCTCCAGCGCATGCCGAGAAAGAAAACCTCTGAAGGAGGGAGGTAAAGAAGAGGAATAACTCCATCCTGGCCAGCTGCTCCCCAAGACACACACGCTTACCTGAGAACACAAAGAGCAACTGATGAGTTATATTCACACAATTTTTAAGAGATTCACTTTGATCATATAATATCGCTGCAGCTCAGAGTGTGAAACAACCACAGAATACAGTACGACATGGAGCCTGATCCCCTCCCTACTATGGTAATCAGTTAGACAGGAAATCAACTGGTTTAAACTACAAATTACTGAGTTTCAGAGGCTTGTAACTACTGACTAACCTGCTGAAAAAGGAAGGAAGGCCTCTCTCTTCCTAAATTTGCCGTCCTGGTCCAGAAAATGTTGAGGGTTGAAGGTGTGTGGAGTTTCCCACATCGACTCATCATGTAGAACTGAATTCAGCGTGGGTAAGATAGTGGTGCCCTGAGGAAATGCAATTAATGAAAACTGTAATTCAAACTGTTTTTTTGTTTGTTTTGTATTTCTAAAGAAAATATTTTAAAACAAACTTCTAACCTTACAGACAGTTATTGGTTATTCAGTTTATATCAGTGTAGTATAAAATTTGCTTGCAGATTTGGTTTTTAGAGAATATAAAAGTTGGTCTTTATATTAAAGATATCTTCACGTAGCTGAAACGACTGGGTTGAAAACCATTGTTGATTTTTGACCATGATTGTTGACTTGGCAGCAAAGAAGCACTGCATTCAAAAGCTATGCTGCCAGAAAATCCAAACAATAAGTAAAATGCTCACAGAAATCACTTCTTTCTCACATGTGCATCATGTACCTTTGGGATTGTGTACTTGTCAAGCACGGTGTCCTTGTTTGTCATGCGGACCACATTGAGGGGGATGATGTTGCCCATTCTCTGGATTTCATGGATGACTGCATCAGTATAGGGCATGTTTTCTCTGTCAGTCACAGAGGGCAGTCTGGATGAACCAACGACAGATTCTATCTCAGCCTGGACTCTCTCTGCACACAGTGAGAACAGGAAACAATATGAGTCTGTGTACTATGTAGATCACTGAGGGGAAAATGCAATACATCCCACACACTCTCCCAACACAGGACTGACCTGTGAGGGACCCCTGATCCTTTAAGGTCCTTTAAGGTCATGGCAAGATGCTTACAAAACAAACGGCATGAGGCAGCACAGATATTACTCACACACACACACACACACCTTGTATGTCAGGGTAGTACATCATGAATAGCAGTCCCCAGTGTAAAGTTGTGGTAGTAGTTTCAGTTCCAGCACCAAACAGATCCAGAGTGCAAACAGCCAGATTTTTAAAATCAAAACCAGAATTTGTGTCCTCCTTCTATCAATCAAACACAAAATGCAGTTTCTAGTATCAGCTGACATATTTCATTAGAGAGCAAACAAACAACAACAAAGAAAGCAAACACAATGCAAACACTCGCCTCTCCCATCTCTGTGAGGAAGCAGTCGATGTAGTCTCTCGGTGAGGACGGGTCAAGGCTTTCTCTGTGTTCTTTAATCCTGATCTCTATAAAGTCCATTAAGTTTTGTGTCAGAGTGAATATCCTCTGGTGAGGTCCGGGCACCCACTTCATCAGCCAGGGATATGTGTTATAAACCTACAGAGCATGAAGACAGTTAACAGACCATTAGAGAATCTTGATGTAGTTCACAACCTCAGGTGGAGGCCGCGGCAAATGTGGCAAAACTAATTTGTTTGCTGGATTTGTCAAAAAAACAGATGTAAATCAGAACAAATAAATCTTGCAATATAAAATTTTGTATACTGTGATGGAGGATTAAAGCCCGACTGATTTGGGATTTTTGAGACTACCAATTTCGATATATGAGTATTTCAAAATCCAATACTGCAATATATAAGACAAAATTCATTATTGTCTTGCCTCATTCATTTATTTCAGGATTTATTTCATAAGCATATTTATTAATGTTTTTATTTATTTAATATTGACTGAAATGGCATCCATATTCCATATTTTACTGCATGAGTACTTTTTACTTAAATTGATACTTGGGACATTTGGCTCATAATGCTTTTGTACTTCAGTGAGAGTAACTACTGTTGTGCCCAGCTCCCACAGTTAGGTTATGTGTCTAGTTTTATGTCTGCAACCACTTCCTGTTCTGCTAGAATTTATCATCTTGTCTCTTTTCGGGCCCAATCCCAATGTCGCCCCTACGCCCTAAGCACTGAATCCTCACAGACTTTACTGACGTCACTTGGAAAGTGATTGAGTGCAAGAGGCTGCAAGGGCTCATAATGCTGTAAACAGGAACAGGACAGCACTTTGCCACATGTTACCTTGATGACGCTGAAACACGTTGCACACTTTTTATTTTATGTTTTTGCCTGATTTTTTAAGTCTTGCAGCCTCTCACTCTACAGAGTGGTGGAGAAGTAAATCTCAATCTACATTTTTCAATAATCAATACATTATTGTTGGTAAAAACAGCATCATTAAACAAAAACTAACATAAATAGTTGAATAAACTAAGTGTTTAATAAGGTGATTGCATTCCTCTGACTTCATGTTTTCTATGTACCATCTAAAAAGAAAAATTCTTAAAAACAATTTTAGCATCACAAACAGGAAACAACCCATTTTTCATTTTGATATTAAAAATTGGAAAACGAAAAACAATCTCCTTATCTGATTTTCTTTGATGTGTTTATAGATGGAAATCGGAAATTAAAATAGTGTGTATAAATCTTATTTCGTGACCCGGAAGCTATGGTAAGTAGTAAGCAGCTTAGGGGTGCTGTACAGTTCAAAAATGCATGTAAAACTGTGTGGGCACGCACTTTCCTTCAACACAGAGTGGTCGTATGAGGTCACCGAGGTCCGGACCTCAGTAATTATATATTTATGTATGTACAGCTGAAACTCGAAAAATTAGTATATCGTGCAAAAGTTCATTTATTTCAGTATTTCAACTGAAAAGGTGAAACTAATATATTATATAGACTCATTACATGCAAAGTCAGATATTTCAAGCCTTTATTTGATATAATTTTTATGATTATTGCTTACAGCTTATGAAAACCCCAAATTCAACATTTTAGACAATTAGAATATTACATGAAATCAATAAAATCAATGTCAGCCCTCTGAAAAGTATAATCATGCATATGTACTCAGTATTTGGTTTGGGCCCCTTTTGCATGAATTACTGCCTCAGTGCGGCGTGGCATGGATGCTATCAGCCTGTGGCCCTGCTGAAGTGTTATGGAAGACCAGGATGCGTCGTTCGGTCTCATGTCTTTTATCTTTCTCTTGTCAATGCCCCATAGATTCTCTATGGGGTTCAGGTCTGGCCAGCAAACTCGCCTATCAAGCACAGTAATCCCATGGTCATTGAACCAGGTTTTGTTACTTTTGGCAGTGTGGGCAGGTGCCAAGTCCTGCTGGAAAATGAAGTCAGCATCTCCATAAAGCCCGTCTGAAGGAAGCATAAAGTGCTCTGAAATGTCCTGCTAGATGGCTGCGCTGACTCTGGACTTAATAAAGCACAGTGGACCAACACCAGCAGATGACATGGCTCCCCAAACCAACACAGACTGTGGAAACTTCACACTGGACTTCAAGCATCTTGGATTGTGTGCCTCTCCATTCTTCCTCCAGACTCTGGGACCTTGGTTTCCAAATGAGATGCAAAATTTGCTCTCATCAGAAAAGAGGACTTTGGACCACTGAGAAACAGACCAGTTCTTTTTATCTTTAGCCCAGGTAAGACGCTTCTGACATTGTTTGTTGTTCAGGAGCGGCTTGACAAGAGGAATACGACATTTGAAGCCCATGTCCAGGACCCGTCTGTGTGTGGGGGCTCTTGATGCAGTAACTCCAGCCTCAGTCCACTCCTTGTGAAGCTCCCCCACACATTTGAATGGCCTTTTCCTGACAATCCTCTCCAGGCTATGGTAATCCCTGCTGCTTGTGCACCTTTTTCTTCCACACTTTTCCCTTTCACTTAACTTTCTATTAATGTGCCTTGATACAGCACTTTGAGAACATCCAACTTCTTTTGCAGTTACCTTTTGAGGCTTTCCCTCCTCGTGGAGGGTGTCAATGATGGTTTTCTGCACAACTGTCAGGTCAGCAGTCTTCCCCATGATTGTGAATTCCACTGAACCAGACTGAGAGACCAATTAAAGGCTCAGGAACCCTTTGCAGGTGTTTTGGATTAATTAGTTGATTAGATTGTAACACTTTGAGCCTACAATACTGAACCTTTTCACAATATTCTAATTTTCTGAGATTTTGAATTTGGGGTTTTCATAAGCTGTAAGCCATAATTATCAAAATTATATCAAATAAAGGCTTGAAATATCTCACTTTGCATGTAATGAGTCTATATAATATATTAGTTTCACCTTTTAAGTTGAATTACTGAAATAAATGAACTTTTGCACGATATGCTAATTTTTTGAGTTTCACCTGTATGTATAATACTAAAAGGAATAATAGAAAGATTAAATTGGGAGAAACAATTTTCTGCCATTACATAGGCTAAATAAAATCATTTGAATAAAAAACATTGACAACTTAAATGAACGGCATGCAGGCGACCAACTTCAGATTTTTGCTGTGCAGTCTAAACCCTTTACGACGACGATTAAAAGCTGTGTGGTTTGTGGAACGACATGCCCATGGCATGGCCCTCAACACATCCACATGCTGATATTCACTCAAAGTCATAGCTCCACATGCTGGCAACAGGAAATGACATGTTTAATGTTGTAATGTACTACTCCTAGCAGGTTGGACATATCAACTTCAAAATTGTCCCTAAAAACTCCTGTATACTGCGAATACAGAGAGATTTACCTGGTAGCATCAGTCTTAATAAGCATTGTGTGAAATCGTTTGGGCTTGAATGTAACGGACGTTTATTTATATGTAAAAGTCCCGCACTTAAGATTTAATTTAATTCAGGACTTTTACTTGTAATAGAGTATTTTTAAATAGTTGTATTCATACTTTTACTTTACTATCTGAGTACTGCTGCACATTTTTATCTAATTTAATGCATTTTATGTTAGTTTCATTCAATTCCATTTTAATTGTGTTGTTCTTGAACCCTTTTACAAAATAGTTTATAAAACCCATCACTGACTTTTGTGGTCTGCATGGATAAATTCTGATTAAGAAAAAGATTCATATGCGCTGCAGGAGGCTCACCTGTGTCCACAAACTTCCCTGTAAGTACACTATTTCATTGAACTTCTGAAGAATACCCTGGTACTGCTTGTCAGTGTATTCAAAGCGATCACCAAACACCAGGCAGCAGATGATGTTGGACACAGCACTGGTAATCAGTGATTGGGCATCAAAAGGCTTGCCTGAAAAAGAAAGAGGAAATGTAGAGAAAACACACAGAAACTTTGTAAAAAAATAAAAGAACACAAAGTCAAAACATGAACTGTGTGATGAGCCACAGGCAGAAGAAGAGTACTGTGACATATTGATTATAATTATGGATGATTAACAGGCTGGCTTATCAGATACATTTACAGTGTCAGCCACTGCCAAACTGAAACAAACTAACGTCTAAAGTGCATGGTTCAGTGCTCCACGGTGTTGCTGCATGCCTCTGTGTGGAGCAAAGTTGGAGCGAAGTTGAAGGGAAAGGGAACATGTACTTAACATAAAAAAAGACTGTGTCATGGTGAAAAAGCATACTGCCCTGTAACTAGTTATGGATTAGTTGATTAGTTGTTGCTTGTTGAAAAATAAGATTTGTTTGTTGCCTTGCTGAAGGGCAAAAGCTTCAGTGAGATATTGGCACTCCTGCTGGATGGATGGCTCCAGGCTCTTCTTGCCCACACCAAAGTTTCTGAGTGTCTGAAGAGCAAATCTCCTCTGCTGCTTCCATGGATTGCCATTTGATGCCACCAGACCTTTTGGAAACACAAACAGCATTACATCGAAGGTAACTGGAAATGGGTATAACTAACAACTGGCTAAATGCTAATGTCCGATGCTACTACCTAAATCCTAACTAACAACATTTAAAACAAAATACAACACAGACCTCTGTTCCCAATTAATTCTTCCGCCAATGGTATGATGGGGCGATCTATGTAGTCCTCTCCTTTGTGGACCAGGGCCTCTCTTACAAGCTTGTAGCCATTAATCACCACAATCCTTCCACCGAACAGCCGAAGGCTGAAAACGTTTCCATATTCCTCTGCAAACTGAACACAGAGATCAGACAGGTGTTCAGAGTTGACCTAGTTTCTGAGGATGTCAAAACAAAATCAGTCTAGCTTCAGAGGGTGACAGCACAAACATGCACCTGGCTGATGTGGGCGGTGTTTCATGTTTTATCCTGCTTCCTTTGACATTATTGACATAAATTGGCTCTGTAGATACTACTGTAACTTTGTTTCTTCTTGTATCATAAACTCCCTTTTGAGGTATGATGTCCCCGTTTTACCCCGTTTCACTACTACATGGAACAAGTGTCTTCTGCCTCACACATAACAATGGCCCTGCCGATACCTCTGACCAGATGCAGAGTAGAGCAGCCTTTTGGACAATACAGTATTAATCCTGTGGACGGAAATCAAGCTGCGACCATATACTGTATGGAATCACTACCCTGCCAACTGGCACTCCAAGCTGGGAAACAACCTAGGTAAGGTTTTCTTCTTTGCCTGGTGCTCCTACGTACAGTATTTGTTAAAATGTCTCCTATAAAGTAATCTATATCATCCACAGAATTTACTGTTTATTACAGTTTACTGAATTTACATCTGGCTGTAACACAAAAGAAGCTGCTGGTTGGGAAATGTAAACAGCAACAGGTGCAAATTGCAACAATATGTTTCTGTTAGTTCCTGAAGTGCAGCGGAACACATTTTATTATAATAATTACTAATTTAGCTGACACTTTTATCCAAAGCGACTTACAATTGCTATATATTAAGGCTGGGAAAATTAACACATCATGCCGACAATTATTTTATCGCACGTTAACACAGTTTATTTTAATTTTTAAATTGTTATTTTGAAAGTCCGTTTCTCACTGGCTCTAAAAACACATACTGTCAAACCATGGGTCACAGGAGGGGCGGGGTGTTGATCAGCCTGCAAATCATCTATCCAAACAAGCAGTAAAGGGAGGCTTTGGAAGACTACGTTGACATATTTTTTTCTGTATTTTTCCACCCGCGATCCGTTATCACGGCAGCAGGTGAGCCGCTTGCTTGTTAATGACACAGCCTATCAAACAACTGAAACCAACATCTACACCCTGTGTGTTCAATGCTGCTTTCACGTTACCTCGTCCGTGCTTGTAAAATATCCACCATGACTTGTAACGTCATTTCAAGTTTTTAACCGAGTGAAGTCTGTGCAAGTGAACACACGCACATTTTAATACATAAATCGTCTCCAAAATAAGAATCAAGATGAAATAATCCCTGACACATAACTCAATCAGTCAATAAGGTTGTACCCTCTACATAATGTCTAAATGAAAGAGCTGCAACCAACAATTATTTTCAATGAATCTGCTGATTGAATTTGCTCAATTAATTGTTTTGTCTATAAAATGTCACAAAACAGTGACAAATGCCCAGATTTATTAGCATTGTGCCATATTTTGGGGGTTTCTGTACCATTATTGTTTTGTTATTCAGCATGAGTGTTGAGATTGGTTTCTGTTGTGGGCTACTACAGCCTAAATTACGGTCAGAAGTGAGGTGTAGATTATTTGTTTTACTGATTAGTAGCCTACTGGCAGTAAGAGTGTGTCGTCCCAATACACTACAGTTTAACATTCCCTAATCTTCTGTAAGTTCAATACAATGACTTGAAATGTTGGTGTTACCTAACCCCCTTGGCTCGATATCCAAGTTTAAATGGGGCACTCAAATTAATTAAACAACACAAGGGATCTTTAATCCTGGGTGAATTAGGCCATGAATTTGCTTTTGTGCACAGACATTTTGGGGGGCATGGGCCCCAAGTGAAAAAGCTGGCACTTCACACAAATATTTATTTAAAATGTTTTGTTTTTTTAATAACAAAATGTTAAATATATTAACACAACTTTGAATTCCTAACCAATTTATTTTAGTTCCCTCAAGGGATGCAGCGCTTACCAGATTTCATTATCAACTGTGCTTTAAAACGTCACGGTTAATTAATCGCAAAGCTTCCGCTACACCGAGTGTTTCTGTTGCACAGAACAAAACTGTTGCAACTTGCCCTAAACAAAAACAAAGTTACATGAGCGGTGCTAATCAGAGACATGGAGGCTACCACTGTACACTGGCTAAACTATGGCAGAGGGAAAAGGTTGCTGCTAAAGGAGCGAATACCTACATCATATTTGATGCACCACCTGCAGGATCACCACCCAGCTTTACACGCCCAAGTAAATCTAATACATAATAAGTAAGTTAAATAACGTGGCAAGGGAATTAAATATGAACGTGTCACTTACAATCGATGCAGTAGCTGTGACAGTCGAGTTTTCAGTACAAGGTAAACAAACAAAGCATGTGTAACCTTTCCGACCCACTGCAACAACAGCGCAACAGCTGCGCTATGAGGCCCATTACTTTCAATGGCTTGCACCTCACCAGGGCAGTTTGTTGCTGTGTCAAGCAAATTCAATTAAATATTAAAAATCAACTTCAGTCATTATCAGTGTTGTGAAATGAATTAATGCATAATAATCGTGAAACTGTGATTATTACCCTGACTATAATGTACCGACAAAATCTGTAATCTGTGCATCGGTAGCTCCCTCACACACACACACACACACACACACACACACAATTGTTTCATACTCATCAGCTATCTACAAAATAATCATTTCACATCATGGTCTTCTTCACTTTTCACTAGGTTTATCAAAAGAGCAGGCAACAGAAAAGGAAATAATGCCCCAATGAATATGTTTTCTATGCTTCTAGTTTCAAGTATATCCACACATACATTGTTTTGATGAAATATACTATTATTGCTATTTTACACACACACACACACACACACACACACACACACACACACACACACACACACACACACACACACTCTATCTGATGTTGACAAGGACTTAGTTTCACATTTGTAGAAGGAATGTCTGTATCATGTAAAGATCTATCAGCATAGAACAAACCCATAGAATGGATAGTTATTAGATGAGGAGTTACTGTTTAAGACACTTTTTTCATGTAGTGATCAATTTTGAGACTTTGGTCTATTTTGCTTCCATGGCTTCTTTTACTATAATGGCAAGAAAACTTCCAAAATACACATTTACATGTTTTTTTTAAGCCTACTACCCTCCGTCTGTTTGCATCTGTAGATTTCTTCTAAAGTAACCACAACAAAGTTAATTTGCATATTTTAACAACATGTCATGGGGAAAGACTCATTAACTGAGGAAGTTGTGTGGTGATATGCTTTGTAACCAGCCTGCCCTTCAAGTTGAGTTAATGATGTCCTACATTTCCCAAGGCAACATGCCTGAACCTGTTGTATAGCAGCTCTGAAAGGTTGCTTTCTCTTTATGGATTTTTCTTCTATATCCAGATGTATCAATTTAATCATTTAAAAATGCAGAGTGCGCTATACTTCAACTGATAAAGTATAATCTGAGTATTAAGTGTCTGAAAGCTGAGATGGGGACTCGAGTTTGAGATTTGGACTCGAGTCGCACACACAGTGACTTCAGACTTGACTCGAACTTGAGGTGCGGGACTCGTGAACAATGTTTGTTTTTAGGAAATGTCTTATGAGCTAGTGGTTATTCCCCTCCCTATGTTACCTATAACCTACCTGCGTAACACAATGCTACGTATCTGCAGCGCACGGCTACACGTGTGAGAGGCCAACAAACACCGGCAGCTGCTGAGCCATTCATCATAAACATTGGCTTTAAACTTTATACAACAGGGTCAGAGTTAAATTTAAGACTTTTTAAGACCTTTTTAATACCACCAAGGATGAAATTTAATGCCAACTTCACTGGCATATAATGGAAAATCGGTATGAATTTTACATTATAATACAATGATATTTAATATACAATAGCTTTTTGAGGCTTGTTTGTACTCTAATAACATAAAATGAATAAAATATTTGTCGCATTAACAACTCTCATGCTATGAAACTAAAAATGCAAACTGAATAATATTATATATCTATATTATTCTTTGTGGAGTTCATCAATGGTGATTAAATGATTGCAAGAATTGCAGACAGCATTTCTTGAGATTCAGCAAAAATATGTGGTGATAACTGCATTTGCTCAATGGGCACAGCAAAGTGTTTGGAAAGGACCTTAAGAGGTGGATGCATAATTCGGCAGAACAGAAGTTGTAGGGTTCCTGCCCAGATTTGCATCCATCTTTTTTCTCAACATATATCTAACGTTTTCTCCCGCGAAGTGCATGCAATTCTCAGCAGGCATACAGAACTCTACACAACACACATCTGAGTGATGTCATTTAGTTGAATGTTCTTAAGCATTTTGGATGTTTCCATCCACATAACTATTGTTACAACAGTTGAGCCACGCCGACACACAGACACCGTCCTCGTCTTATACACAACTCTATCTCTGCTGTTGTAACGTTTACTGACCAGGAACCTGCAGGCGGTCCTTCAGCTCTGACGTTTCATTACTGCTGACTCGCATGCTGATCCGCTTGTTGTGCTAACCTCACCACCACTGCTCAACTTGTCCACATCTCTGACCTTGTGGGCAAAGGGGTACCATTAGCTTGTTAGTAGCACGGTGTGAGACGTTTTGTTTTCTTTCATAAAAACTGACTGAATCACCAGAGCTCGTGCACCTAAACACTGATGTAAACTGTACCTGTTCTGTCGTATAACATCCTCCGAACGGGGTAAATTGTGAAGTCACACACGCAAATTTTTTATTTATGATTTTAAGGCATTTATTTAATCCTACGAAAGGACAAGAAAAGATTTAAGACCTTGGTAAACAGAATTAAATTATTTGTAACTGAAATTTAATATTTAAGGCCTTATTTTAGAATGTAAATTTTACACTTTTTTAAAAATACTTTTAAGACCCCAGGGTACCTTGTACAACAAGGCCCAAACAAGAGCTGAATGCAAAATAGGTTAGTAAACATGTTTAGCTCAGCACTGGCCATCTAACGTTAGCTTGCTTCTTGCTTTAGCTACGACCTACGAGGTTAAGTCCATGGACATTGTAAGACCTATTTTAGCGGGCCTGAAGCTACCCTGACATGGTCCTAACGTTACTACACACATACACACCAACAGCGACACACACAGACATGGTTAAGAAAGTTATTAATTAACTTAATTCAGCATAGTGAGTAATAATAATAATAATAATAATAATCCTTATTTGTAGAGCACTTTTCAAAAACAAGTTACAAAGTGCTTTAACAAGTGTAAAGACAATAATACCCAAGAGACAATAATACAAAAACAATACAGATAAGATAAAAGCATGAAAACATTGAAAAGACTAAAATACAGATAAATATAAAATTAGTAAAATACAATAAAATAAAAGGGATAAAATAAAGTCAAATAAGATCGGGAAAGGCTCTCCTATAAAAGTATGTTTTAAGAAGGGACTGACCTAGTTTCCTCGGGCAGGCTGTTCCAGAGCCT